TTACATACCACATATTCAGTTCTCCAAGGGAAGCAGTGCGGCTCCTGTGGGAAAGGCCCACCCCTTCCTAGATGTTTGCTTCTCTAAATGAAAGGAACACACCCCCTTACATTCTTTGAAATTTGTCCAACAAGCATGGAATTGTAATAACACTGTATCACTGACTAACTTAGAACAAAATAATCAATAGTCAAAAGTTGCTAATATTCTCTGTAATTTTTAAGCAGAATTAACTTCCCTTCCCCACTGTGTGTGTGTGTGTGTGTGTGTGTGTGTAAAACAAAAATTAACTAAGCTCGTATCTAGCATTTGCACTTGGGTCCTCAGAACACTGCATTGATGAAAGTCATGAATGTAGTGTGCACACATGCACTGTGAAAACTCAGGAGGTGGCCCATAGAGGTGACAAGCTTCTGAACTTCATTTAGAACTATCAGGGGAATGCTCCCTTTCATAACCACATTAAAGAAAAAACTCACAGATTCCAGTGTCAATTTTCTTAAGTAGAATCTGAGCAAAAATGTCACCAGTCTTTGCGATGACTGTAAGGACAGAAAACCTGCATTGAAGCTGATGTCCACTAACGCCTATCTCATGAAAATACTCTGTGAGTCATGATAAATTATGTTCTAGTAAGCCTCCCTTCCATTACACAGAGTATACACTCCCTAATCAAGTTTTTCTTTTGTTATTTTATGAAAGACAGCAATCCAATTTGTGGAAACTTATGCACTTATCATTACTCTTTATTTTTTTTTAACAGCATTCACAGAGAAATTTGCATGCAGTGAATAATACACGGAGTTAACAAAAGTTGGTATCTCTTGAGGGAGTTTTTGTTTAAATGAAGTGATGAATTCTTTTACCATCTTTTTTATCAGCTGTTTGATGATGAACTCAGCTATATAATTTCCAGGTCTCCAAAGTGGAAGATCTACTATTTTTTTCTCATGTGCAATAATAGTGAATATAAGGAATTGTAACTGAAGGAATAAACTTATTAGACTTAGCAGAATGTTGCTAAGGTCGAAGTAAACCTACGTGGCTTAAGTCCACAGATGAAACATCTCATTCAAAAGAGTATCCTATCTTACTATAGTAATGAACAGAAAATTAAACACATAAATATTAATTTTATGTATCACAGAAGATGTAGGCAATGAAAATGCAATGTTTACACTTATGGATGACTCATTAGTGTTTTATTGTGTGAGACACTAGGAGGCATCAGTAGGGTAAAAAAGGACTTCAATTTTAGAAGAAACAAGAAATTACTAAAGTGTTGGATGTGTGTGAAGTTTGAGTTTTAAAAATGCTACAGGTAAAACAAGACTATGTGCTATGAAAATCTCAAATCATTCTATTTTGTCATAAAGAATGATGTTTATATAACATTCATAAAATAGACATACATACATTTATACTATTTCACCAATAAACACCTATCAAGATATATTTTGGATGTACTGGTTCATAACTATGTAACTTCTCATTTTGATGAAGAATATACTTGGTAACAGAACAACATATTGGATAATAACAATTATAATACATTTTCTGATCAATTATTCAGTACCTTGAGGATGTTTTATTTCTAGCCCGTTTTGCTTCACATTCTACACAACACTTCTGAAATAGCCTAATGCTGTATGGTAACCACTTCACACAAACAAGGCAACTTGATGCCTGTTCATAGAGAATTGATGGAACTTAAATTTCAAACAACGGAAAAGCACGTAAAGGCACATACTTTCTTTTGCTGTACTATTGAAAGCCTATTATTTGAAAACCGAGTTTTCCCCTATTTGAATTGCTCTTTATAATGACGAAGCAACAGGGTTGTGGCATACTTATCCAGCAATCATTTGAAATCAGAGTGTCTTGCCGTTTCTCAGCAATCGGCTTTTATCTTTGCCCTATCAGACTAGCACATGAACTGTGTAATCTGCCTTTTGTAAGGTGTACAGTGTTGTTGCTTTGGTTTTGTGACTTGCCTCTGTAATCTGATTTGATTTCTTAAACGTGACAGATCTCAGTGAAGAGTCAAGCTTTACTGAATGCAGGAATAGCCATGAGCCATGAGCACTGGGTTTAACCCAGTGCTGAGGAGAGGGCACAGTCAGCGCTTCTTCCCATGTGGCATATTCCCTAAGCATTAGAGGCAAAAGCCTTTGATTTGGTCCATACCATCACGATAAATGTGTAAAAGAAATACACATGCTTTTCTAAGCTCACACATTCATTTGGGAGACATTTTCTTAGAAGATGCTATTTTAAAAAGTTTAAAATTAATTAGTAATCCTTTTGCACTCCACTTTGAAAGCCTTAACTGCACATTAAATTTCTCCACGTTGCTTTCAATCATGCCCTGAAAACCTTGGTTCTTTGTTCAATAACTACTTTTTTGTTATGTAGTACAGTTAATTACTTTAAAGATATTTCCCCATTGTTGTTTCTGAGATTTCATAGGCTAAAATATATTACAAAGAGTTGGGAAATAAAACCACAAAATATATAACAATAAACAAAAGAAAGTTTTAAAATGTAATGCTTAACATTTACCAAAGAATTATTTAGTATAGTTATCTACTAAAGAAATTTAAATACGATGAATAATTTATTGGAAAGACATAATTGTATGCCGTTCAGCTTATTCATTGAGTAAGGTGAAGGCCAAGGGAAAATTAAAAGATATTTGAAAGCTATAGAGTATACTTTTTTTCAGGATTCAATTTTCAGGAATCCTTAGTTACTTTCCTATTGGAATGAATAAATTACCCCAAATTTTGAAAAATAAACCTGTTTATAAAGAAAAAATAAGGCAAGTTACAGCAAGTCTTTGTGACTGAAGTTTCCTTATCTCTGCCCGGGAAAGTTAATGTCCATGCTTACATACTTTAAAAATATGGTTAGCTTTGAAATAAAGGAAAGTTGATTCTTATTATGATATGATCATTTGTTTCTTCAGCAAATGTAAAACACATTAATATGAAATAAATGGCACACCTTAATGTTATCCTCTGATACATTTACATGTACAACAACCCAGACGTAAATAGTACACTTAATGAATGAACTAAAATACTGTTTTTAATAAGGAATATGAGAACTACATAACACATTCCAAAGCTATGTAAATCATATTAATAGGAATTTTTCTTCTTTTTTTTTTTTAATAAAGTTTAGCACAGTCTAAAGTAAAGATAACTGCCAACTATTGGCCCTTTAACTTGACTTGGGAACCAAATTTTAAACAAAAATTATGTGTAAAGTATGTTTTGATGAATACTTTTAGAATCAAGATTGGAATCTGATTGATGATTAACTATATTATCCTTCAAACAGTACAAAAACTCAGTGACTTAAGGAATTTTTCCCTCTTTAGATAGCACATAAAGACATCTCATTTTACCTAACATGCACTTGCTTTAGGACTACTTCTAAACTTAATAATTAATTTTATGCTTATACGAGATGATAATAATGTGGTTTGTTGCCTAAATTTTCTATAATTGAATCAATAGCTGTATAAAACTCCACTTGTGCCATACTGATACATACTGAACTGTTTTTAAGACTAGCCCAAACTGCCATTATTTTAAAAATTCAATGAGATATTTTTGCTATAAACTGAAAATTGCTGAACCACTGAAGGCTAAAATTGGTATGGCTACAAGGTTAAGCTGTGCTCACAGGTGGTCACATTTCGTGTCCCAGCAAGTCTCTAGGGAGGGGAATTATTAAGCCCCATATAAACATCTTTACTGTGCAACCACAATTCCATTGCAAGGCGCCAGTGACAGGGAGCCTGGTCACTCTTGTGGACAGGCATGGGAAGGCACCTGGAGTTTTCATCACAGCACTTAGAAAACATACGCAGTCACTAGGTATTTCATAAGAGAGCTACTGTTAGAGTTACTATTGGGTTAACAATAGTAAAATGCACTTCGTGTCAAAGCAATTCTCCACTGAGGACCCTTTAAGGAGTCGGCAGAGACCTGATTATACTTCCAGTGTCAGCATTTACATAGAAAGTCTTTTCTATAAAAGACATCCATTTCAAAAATGTGAGGAAAAGTCTTTTCACAAAGAATAACTATAGCATCTAGAATAGCACAAAATGGTTCCGATATAAATTTTCCCTTAAGAATTAGTGGCCTTGCTCTGGGAAGGAAATAACATTAGCACTGGACTCAAACACTTGCATAATACATAATAATACAATAAACAATGTGCCCCGTCTCTGTAGACTTCCTTTACAGCTAACTTTGTCACTTAGTTTGGTAACTTTCAACCCAAGTCCAAACAGAAGGCCGGCTAAGGGACTTAGTCTTGTTTGTTTTTAAATAGCTTAATATTTCCCTTGATCTAAACAACAGTGCATATGCTGAAATTCATGCATAGACTACCATGGCCAGGGCACTGTTTCTGGTCCCCACCAATTAAGCTCTCTCAAGCCAGCCCTTTGGTGGCTGAAGAGGATGCACAAAGGTGGCCCAAGGCAGAAGCCCTGCTGTGACTTAAAGTCATCCCAAGAACTAGTGGCTCAGAATCCAAGCCCAGGGCAAACCAATCTTGGGGGCGACTACAGTAACATCTTTTCATAGTGAACTAATTGCTAAATTTTAAGACATCTACTTCAAGGTCACAGAACAGTCTGGGAAATTCTCAAATCCTCCAGGTTCCACGTTCTCCACTCTATCAAGCATGCTAATGACGTGAACTAACTTCATGAAACTTTAAACAAACTGATGTGACAGGAACGAGTCAGATGTGATTGCAGTAACGGATGGCAAGCAGATCCTACTATCTAAAAAGTTACTTTCAGCCACACACAAGGAAATCATGGAATCTAAAGAAAAGAACGCACAACAAGCCTCAACTTAAGCCTTCCAAAAAGCAGTTGGGATAGACCTTCTGCCTGGAAGAGACTGAAATAGATTTCACAGACAATACCCAGGCTATTTCTATTCTTTTCGAGAAATGACAGAGGTACTTACATGAAGGAAGACTCGACCAGATTAGTCCTTGGTATATTTTCCTTTCTTAAAAGAGGAAGAGAGAGAGAGAGAAATAACAGTAATCTTTACTTCATCCAGCCTTGAAGCGCTTCTCCACCTGATTCAAAGCTGCAGGCACGGCGACCCACACAGAACCTTCAAAGTCAATCCAATAGCAGCCCGAAGATGTCTGGGTGTACGCGTGTGCTCAAGTGTCTGTGACTGCGAGCCGAGCGAGCAGAGAGCTGGAGACGAAGAGTGCGTGTGTGCGCGCGAGAGGGGGGGCGAGGGGGAGGCGCGCACGGGATCGCGCATTCGCGCGCGCTGCGAAGCCGCTGGAAGAGGAGGAGAAAGAGGAGGAGGAAGGTGGAGGAAGCGAAGGAGGAGGAGGAAGAGGAGGAGGAAGAGCAGGAGGAGGAGAAGGAGGAGGAGGAGAAGGAGGAGGGGAAAGTGGCTCTCTGTGGTCGGTGGGATTAAAAGTAGCCAGACTCGTCCAGAAAGCTGCGTCCAGGAAGGAAGTGACAGAAGACGAATGGGAAAAGGAGAGCAGCACACAGCTTTAGAAACGTCGCGTAAAAGAGCGGGGGGTGGGGGGGAATGTAAGGATACTGGGAGGGGACGCGGGGGTGGCAAGCAACATCGAGCACACCGGGTTGGGGTTCTAAGCAGCACGTACGCACCCGTGCGCACCCCTCTGCCCATTTCATTTTTATTCTTGCCTTTGCCTGCGCTGCCTTTTCCTTTCCGTTTCTCTATCCCTATGAGCCCAAACCGTTGCCTCTCCTCCCGAGCTGGGGAAATCATCAGTTTCACTCTTGCAAAAGGGGGGCGGGACTAGACCTCGCAGCATTTTAATAAAACAAACATACTGCTGCTCCCTCCTCACCCCTCCAGTCTCAACTAGATTGATAAATTACTCCACTACACTACTTTAATTATGTATATGGTATGCAGAATAAATCACTGAACATCAGTACCTCAATCAAGCACTTTTAAATGATAATTGCATCTTGGTGAATCAATCTTTCCATTCCTGACATTTTGCTAATTTTAGTTTTACGGTGGGGTAATGGCACATGCCATACGCAAACCTAATGACAATTCTTTATTGCCTGAAAGGGAAACAACACGGGGAGCGGCGGCTCCCTGCCTCTCTCCCCGCGGCTGCGGAGGGCGCTCGGAGGGGACGCTCGGTTGCCGCGCGCTTGCTCCCCCGGGAGGCTGCGAGGCAGCCAGCAGGAAAGTCCTTCTGAAGTTGGGATCTTCCCTCTGACCAATAGGAGCGCGACCCTAAGAGCTGCTCTAGCGACTCCCCCAACCCCCACCCCCACCCCTTTGGATTCGCGGTAGCCACTTCATTCTTGCTCGGGTCCGCGCGCGCCTCTGCTACTCACGCGTAAAAGCCACGATCCAGGATGTCTGCAAGCCTCGATCCCAGCGTGCGCTTCCTGCCCGCCCAGACTGTACAAAGCGTTTGGCCTTGAGACCTGGAGAGCCAGGCTAGAAAGTGAGCTGAAAGGATTCTCAGATGCTAGTAATAAAACAATTACAAGCATTTGAAATCTCGACTTTATCGCGGGGCCATGAACTTTCGAATCAATATGGAAATATTTACCAAGGGGACAGCTTCCTCTGAGAATCCCCTCTCCTTCCCTCCAGCGTCTCCTCCACACCTTACTGAACCTTATCCAGATCATTAGCATGTAAACCAAACCAACTTCCCAAATGCATTAGGCTACCCTGGCTGATAACGGATGACTTCACTAATCTGAAGAGTTTCAGCTGCACAGGAAGCAGCAACAGAGACCGATAAGGATACTTATGTTAAGGTTTAAGTCTGCTGAATACTTTTCCACAACAAAAACAGGTTAACAAACAACTGGGACTTAGGGAAGAAGGTTGCAGGTATTGGGTCAGTTACCCAGTCAGCTACACCACACCCAAAAAGTTCAAGATAAAATAAATCACCTGGTACACAAATAACACACACACACACACACACACACACACACACACACACACACACGCAAAAACAAACAAAAACCAACCAAGATTGCAGGCCAGGGGTACTGTAGGTTTTTAAAACATTCAAAATCGATTAATTGCTTTGATATTATGACTGGAGGAAGAGAAAGCTCACAGAGGACCATAACACCAAAGGTACAACACAGTAGCACAGTGAAATATCTAGTTAACTAAAGGTATCCCCTCAAAAAACAACAACCCTCCCCCCCCCAAAAAAAAATCCCAAACTCCTCTTTTCAGCACCATGTGTTTAACCCAATGACTGGTTGCATTTCCTGGTAAGTTCTTCAGTAGGCCTGCAGAGCACTATTTTAATGCAGGGGACAATGTGGTTCAAAAAACCTCCTGTCTTTTTGTGCAGACTGTTTGAAGTTAGTAGCTTTTCTAGAAGAGTGGGCCTCAACATTTAAGCACCCACCAAAGGCTTCACTTGAAAGCAGGAGCTGACTTTATAGTCAAGCTAAACTACATCTGAACAGTCTTCAAGTGTCTGGCCCCTTACCATTGTGAGGATTAATTAGTAGAGCTACTTTTATTACAGGAAAGCATGACAAACTGTGGGTTTTTTGTTTGTTTCTTCTGTTTTTGCTAATTAGTATCTATACTATACTGTTTGCCTTTATATAGAAAGTGTGTGACTACAATGAGTTTATGTAAACAGTATGGCAAAAGCCTTTTTTGCAGGTACACCCTCTGATGCTTAGAGATGCCGAACACTAAGGCACCTCTAGATTTGGTGATATAAATGAAATGGAGGTTGTTTTTGAGGTTTACAAAGATCCTCACTGAGCAAACCATATGACTGACAGACCAGGGGAATTTTCTGCCAAAATGCTTTAAATTAATGTAAAGAACTTCAATGGCTTAAATTATACGACAAAGTAGATATAGCCAATACATGAATATCAACCATGCTATTGTAGTTAATTATAGAAGGTATTTATTTCTATTTACCACAATGTACTTCAGTTTTAGAATTATTTTCCCTCAAAAGGAAACTTATTGTACTTATTATGTCAAAGAGTTATTTAGTAATAAGCTTTGTAACAAAATATTTATCAACAATAATGTAAACATTCAAAAGTATGGTAAGCCAAAGAGGATGATTTGAAAGTTTGGATCTGGAATATATTAGAGATGGTCTGTTTAAAAATGTAAGATTTACACCCTCAGAGATTTAGTTTCTTAATTATGTGTGACCTAAGTTAACATTAGAATTAGTTTCCTTCATATAAGCTGAAGTGGAAGGGAGGTACTTACATGGATATGACCAGTAGACAGTTACCTGAGCTTTAAAATTATTTAGTAGTAATCCATGAGGTGGTTGATCCAGAGAATGTTTTGTATTTGGCTTTAAACAACCCCAGACTTGCATTGTTTATTTACTTAAATTTACTCAAACGGGTGATGCCTGCTTTGTAATGGTACTTGGTGAGGATCAGATATGTGTGTGTGTGTGTGTGTGTGTGTGTGTATGTGTGTGTGTGTATGTGTGTGTGTGTGTGTGTGTGTGTGTGTGTGTGTGTAGGAAGTAGCTGAGTGTAGGTGTTGAGAGACTTCGAATTCTCTATCCAGTTTCAAGATTTGTGCTTGGGGAAGTGACTCAATGGCAGAGCACTAACATCACTGGCATGAACCGGGCCTTTGCTTATGGTTTGATATAAACACAAAAAACACCTTACTAATTGATAAACCCTTCCTAGACCTCACTTTGTTAGGTTACATGAGCTCTCCAATTTAGTTCTGTACTTGAAAAAAAATAATCATTATATCCTTTATTTCAGTGAGCATGTAGGAATTTGTCTATTTAATTAAAGGCAACTTTCCTTTAAGAAAAAAGGATCTGGGATTGGTGTGCTATTAACCCCCTCCCCTTTCTCTATCTCTGTGTGATTACTAATATTCCTTTCATTAATTACTATTAGTGCTTTATATTAAATATAAATACACATTAGCAACCCCTCCAAGGATTTATTTAACAATCCATTGAAACAACTAAAGTTACAAAGAGCATGGCGAATGTCTCAGCTCTACACAAAGCTAACATTCCCGTCTCTGTTTTGTGCCATGTTACTGCACCGTCTTTTTCTTCTGCTTCCCACATTAAAGCAGCACTCTACCAGAGCCCTGTGCACTGGGTCTGCCTGCTTTTAAGCCTGGCCCACGCTGGGTGTAGCTCTTGAAGTGAGCTTTAAAAAATTATTTTAAAGTGAGCTGGGGCGGTTGCCACAGCAACCTACCCTGAGATGAAGAAAGGATATAGATTAATCTACCCCTTAAGATTATTCAAGTGTATAGTATTTGTTCTTCAGCCAGAATACTTTCAACACAAATATAACTGAACATGAAAGTTTCAGAAAATCGGAGAAACATGGTAAGATTTAAATTCTACAACAGGAAACATATTTTACCCTCTTTGTAGCTGTCTTGTGATGATGTACATAACTGCCTAGGAAAGAGATTATTTGTAGTAGACACTTGTGAAGGTGAAGGTGGGCCTCGGAAGGTGATGAAGACTTCTGCAGTGTGCCACAGCACTGCTTATATTATGAAGAGGAGAATGTATGGTTGGTATCACTGTCACCCATGTCAACATTTTAAATACTTTAAAGAAACAGGTGCTTTCACTTCTATGATGACACTGTGGTAAATGATGAATGTGGGTACTTACCACCTACACTTCTTTACTGCCACAGCCATTTGCCTTCCATGCTTCACTTCATCTCTTCAGAGGTTACTTCACAGTTTCCAGCTCTTTTTGTTGGCACCTTAAAAATGTGTAAGTACATAAAAATGTTATTTTCTCTAAAGCTGACCTTACAGTAGATTCAGATAGGTATGGTTTAGAAACTTCTAAAGTAATGGTATTTATTACTCTAAACTCAAAGTGGCTAGATAAGAATTTAAATGATCAAACTGGATGGTGTCCATAATTTTTAAAAATGAATGATGGCACATTTCTAAATTTCACAAATTCACAAATTCCCTAGGTACAGCTTTCTCCCAAGCATGTGGACTGAGTGTGCTAAAGGAACTGTGATATACAAAGGGTTTGGTTTATCAGGTAAAGCTTTCATGGTATGCTTCGTCTCATAAACACTGAGCCTACTCTTCTCTTCACTCTTGTACTGTTGATTTTTTATATCTGATAAAAATCACAAGGGAAAAAATGTAAAGTAAAAACTATTATTTCTCATGCTAACAAAATTTGTCAAACGTGGAAATATTTGTAATATTATCTAAGTTGATGGGCATTGCTTAAAGCCTACTTAAAACACTTTTGGAATAATGATGTGGGTTCATTACTGTGTATGAATTCTATTAGTAACAATACCTTATTCACCCATAGCTGTGTTGAGCATAGACAAGTACTCCTGTGCTCTGATCCCTGACTCAGACTAGCTTCATATGACTTTGGGAATCTTTCCTTGGCTTCAGAATGGGACCAGTCCCCCAAAAGGACCAACTATAACACAACAGATCACAAGAGCCAATATCCCTTTTCCTGGTTGTCTTAGTCGGACTTTCCATAGTGAGGAGTCATCTAGAACACCTCTTCATCTGCACTGCCATTCATATGATTTCTTTTTATTATTGTGTTGGAAGTCAGAGAAATGAAGAATTTGGTCAGGATTTTTTTTTTTTTTTTTAAGGATTATGCTCATCAAATTTGCATCTTTCAAGCCCAGGCCCACCATGCCTAAGTCTCAACTTGTCCTAGTTCTCAGACCCACCAATCCTTTTTCTCTTACTTCTGCTTGGCTTTAATGTATATTAAATGACAATCATGATACAGACATCTCCCAGGGCCTCTTCACCCCACTGTTCATGAAACAAAGTCTGGAAGACACACTTAAAAAAAACCATAACGCTCCTCTACAAACTGATACATTTCTTCTATCAGTATGTCCAAATAAGGCTTCATTGGTAATTTGCTTGTAAGTGTGTGGCTGATCCGAAAGCATCCAGGGAGACAGCTAAATTTAATGGGACTTAACATTTACATTCCCCATTGTTAAATGCTTATTGAAATACTGGTTCTACTCCATTTCTTGACATATCACAAGAGACCTGAAATTTAAGGGGTAAGATAGTCACACTTCCCCTTTTAACCGTTTCTTCTAGAGGGCTGTGCTCTTTCATTTTACAAGATCATGACCAAGGGATGCGATGCAAGTTTGGGGTTAAAAATTTCGCCAGGCATTTTGGTACCCACTTCTTTGTTTAGGAGGCAGAGGGCTGGGATTCAGTCCGCAAGGCCCCTTAGAGAGCAGACGAGGGACGCCTTTGGTTTCAGCAGCTCTCTCCTGAGTTATTGATTGCAGGGAGCAGCAGTCCCTCCGGCTGGTTTGTGTTGAAAGCAGACCCGCTGGCTGGGCAGACTGGAGAGGCGCAAGAGCCACAACGCCACCCAATTACTGCTGGTCCTCCCCTCCCACACGGCTTTCCCCTCCTATTTGCTCTTTCTCCACGGGTCGCTACTTCCTCCCACCCACTTTTCTCGTGGCTGATGGAGCTGAGGGGGTGGGGACTCTTTGCCCCACCGAGTTTCTAGAGCTGCCAGGCTGCAAGTGTGTGTGTGTGTGTGGGGGGGGGTGAGGGGTGAGTGTGCCACGTGAGTACGCCACAGGCTGGGCGTAGGAGGCCTGGCCCTCCGACGGACCTACTGGGCCTGGGTGCGCAAAGGATTGGGCGTGCTGTCTGAGCCCGGGACAGGAAGGGGTGTGCCGGCCTGCGTTCGGCTGGAGAGGAGATGTTTTGGCTTGGAGGAAAGAGACAGGGGCTTGCTGATAAAGATGGAGCGTGAAGGGCTCCGGGGAATGGAGGAGGGCGCAAAGGCAGTGGGTGTGCTTTGGAAACGTGCGGTGGCGGCGCTGGTGGAGTTTATCTGCTGCTCTGGTTGTTAGGATCCCAAGAATATTTCTTCCGAGGAGCTGGAGATGAGCTCTGTGAGGTCTCCACAATCACCAGGGGTGGGGGTGGGGGGTCAGCAAAAGAAACCCACCACCCACATACAGCACACAAAGTGCTGGCACAAGGTCAGCGTTTCTGGTTACTTGATGCGCTCCAAGCATTTTGCAATCTGGGAGAGAAATAGCAGCTTTGGGCAGATCCAGCCACCCTGTTCTATAGCGTCCCAGATTTTTAACAAATTTAATAGACCAATAACAGGAAAGGACCAGGGCCCAGAATTGGATTTAAACCCTAAGTACTCAGGATCTTCATAAGTATTTTAAAAAACTAACAGCCAACCACTAACCCTAGCATCTAAGCGGCCTTTGTGGATATTTACAAGTCTTGAGGTAGTTAAGGTCACTAAGTAGAAAGAACTGGGATGCTAAGGGAAATGAACAGCAAAAGCAAGTAAGAAAACTTCCTTTTCTCCTGCACAACTTTCGTTTGTTATCACTTGGAAACAGTGTTGGGATATTCTGCAAAAATAATCATGGGGAAAACGAGGCTCGTGTGACGGTATTTGCCTATCTAGGGTGCTGTACCAAGGACAGTAAGTGTGGTAGGAAGAACACATCGAAGGCTGTAGAGAGCACAGGGGTTCTAGACCTCTTAAGTCTAAAAGTGTATGTCCCCTTTTTGAGGACTGCACTGAATAGATTAGCTGCTAGACACATGTGGCTTTTCAAGTGAACTAAAACTAAACACTGTCCATATTTTAACTGCCCAATAGGTCCATGTGGGCAGTGGAATCTTTGGGGTAGGGAGATGTGGAATATGTCCACCACCACATGGAGTCATATTGGAGAGTACTGTAGTAAAGTTTTAAACTAAAATACTGGCTTTAAAAAATGTTTTATATGCTCAGTGGTGGTGGTACATGCATTTAATCCCAGCACTCAGGAGGCAGAGGCAGGCGGATCTCTTAGCTCAAGACCAACCTGGTCTACAGAAAGAGTTCCAGGACAGCCAGTGCTACACAGAGAAACCCTGGCCCCTGATAACAAAAAACAAAACAATATGCTTTATGTTTGATACCAGTTTGATTTTAAGACAGTCTACATTTCCATTACATGGCAGTAGTACGCAATGTCTTTAAGTCTGAATTTTGGTGTCTTTTTGTGCTGACAAAGGTTCTGGGAAACACCTTGTATGTGCATCTTTTTGTTGTTTTTAAATAAAGACAGCAAGTTAAGAACAGACATGCTAACTAAGTGATACACAGCTGTAAATTTGGAAAGAAGCTTAAGTCCTCTGATAGGGCCTAGGATCCTCTCTGCTGGCTGGGACACTATGGCTGGCTTGGTCCGGGCAAACTGACTAGAGTGGAAGGTGTCGACAGATTTTAGGCAGAATCATCCTTTTAGGAGAGAGAATGCTTCTAAGTATTCACCCTAGAGAAAATTTCACTTAATAAAGAGTGAGCTGCATGAGGAATAAGACTGTCTCAAAAACTTAAACTGTATGACTGACAGTACTAGACAGCCAGAATGTGTTTTCAAGGGGGTATAGCTCAGTGGTAGAGCATTTGACTGCAGAAGGTGTTTTCAAAGAGAGCAACTGGTATGTAATGCTCTGTTTACTTGAACTTAAAACTTATACAGAACTAGCATTATACTTTTAGAACAAGAGGTAAGAAACAATACTAAGATCAAAGATGAAGATGTGATCTTAGGTGAGACTTGCTAACAAAGTATAATCTTCCTCAGATTCGATAAGATATCAAATTCACTGATTTCACAGGAGTAGGATTTGCTCAGAAATGCTAAGAACATAAACAGAATGAAATTTTAAGTACTACTATGGAAGATGCATAACTAAGCAACATGTGCTGTGAAATTTTAGACGCAGCATAAACGTGCTTCCATAAGTAGTCAGGTGATTTATTTTGCTGTACTTGTTCTCTACATTTTTTTGTTGTTAGTTGAGATTAATGTTATTAATTCTGCCCATTTGTGGTAATGAATCCTTAATGAAAATGGATTCTGTTTACGTCGGCATAATCACGAATGGGAAATAATAATTTTAAATTAATAATTATTTTGAATGTTGGATTGACCAATACTTGAGTCATCACATTTCTCTTATCTATTTGCCATTTAATGGTAAATTGTCCATTTACCATTTGTTCTTCTTTGAAAGGATTGTTCTCACACTACCTTAATCCATGACCCTATTAAAAAAAGTTTCTTTGTTCTTTGTGACATAAAGGAGAAGGCCTCAGCCTCCCTGTAGCTCACAAATGAAGACTGATGGGAACTGAAGAGAGTATTGACAAAGCCACCAGACAGTTTCACAGGGGAATTGATCACTTACATGTTGAGTTCTCCATGACTCACTTTCCTCACCTATAAAATGTTGAATATAATGTGATATCCCTGATTGCTGTTGGGAATGAAGGAGCTAGTCAACATGCAACAGGAACGAGAAAACAAACTGTATAATTTGTGCGAACAATTTCTACTTCCACAGGACCAAGTTCCCTATTCACTCTCACAGTGGCTATCATAGAGAAAGACGCACGTTATCAGAGACATGAGGATTGATTCAGGATGGTAGCAGGTCTTGAATTTTACCTCTGAAGTAGTGGAAATCTCTTTAGACATAAAATCCTGTTTTACTGAGCGGGGTGACTTTTTCCACAGGTGTGTAGTCTCGAGTCTACTTTTAGTTCTCATGTCAGCTGCTTTCTGCTTGGTAGCTGTCTGGTTGCTGAAAAGGCACTGTACACTCCAAGTCCGTCCTCTTTTCACCCCAGTTGACCTTTGGAATGCAGTTGTCGGCCAAGAAGACATTGATATCCCTAGCCTCCTGC